AGCTAGTAGTAACAAGTGCCTTACTAGTAGTAACAGGTGCCTTACTAAGAGTTTCTCGTCCTCACAGGATCTTTCTTCCAGAACATAAGCAACAAATAAGAATGTATAGATCGATACATCGATCGAATGGTCGAGTAGCTATGGAAAAAATCCCATTTTCAATTCCCTTTGCCACCAATGTCTCCCTCCATCTCCCTCCCTCCCACAGCAGTTACGCCCCATGTCTTTCAGGTCACCCGTCCCGTTCACCTTCCCCCCGTCGTCCGTCGTCCCCGCTCAGGTCCCCCGAGCCGTCAGGTAGCCGTCGGCAAAGCTTTGGCAGGTGAAGACGTGCCAGGTCCCGTTCACGGCCTCGGCTCGGCGAGGCTCGGGGCCTTTTTGTCGCGGGCTCGTTCACCGTCGTTCACCGGTTAGCCGGCTCCGTTCCGGGGATCCGAGTTCTACATCAACCAGTGGCCGTTTGTGGTCGGTCGGATCACTGGCATGTGGCACTTGGAGATCACGGTCGGTCGGAGCCTTCAGTTCTACCGTCTGGTCGAACCCTTTGTCGGGTCCTCAAATGGTGTGCGGCTTTCCACTATTTCAGTGTTTAGATGGTGGATCATTGTTGGTTCTGACTTCAGCTGCAACAGTCCAGCTGCAGGTGTGAACAAAAAGATCACCCGAGATATGCGGCATGGTCAAAACTCTTTATATCTCGTTATACTGTGGAGAATGGAGAATGGTCATCCTACCCTTTACTATTACCCCAAGGGACAAGTATAGTGGCTTTAGTTGAAGTCACTGCAACCATTTTGTTTGGACCATTCCACTTCCATGTTTGTTTCCCCGCGTACGGTCCTCTTGAATCTTCCGGTACGACCATCCTCGGAGCCCCCCAAAAACGGGAAGACCTCGGGGTGCCTTCGGCACCAGTGGATCTCTCTCTCTTCAGTTGATCTCAACGAAGCCTTGAGGATGTGAGAAGGAATGCGAAACTTCAACCAACATCCTTTTCTTTTCGGCTTCTGCGGACCGAAGCGGGTGCCGTCGCCCCCCAGCCTGGCATCCGCTGGCCGTCTCGCAGTGGCAATGAGTGCCATGGACTGCGGTGGGCGGGTCCCGCCGTGCGCTGGTTGGATGGTTGGATGGTCGGCTGGGCCGCCCGTTGATGGACAACACCAAACACAGGTGGGGTGGGACTCCATGGGCAGTCCATGGTGCAAGCTACCATTCAAGTTGTGACATCATTGCAAGAGGGAAACTGCCACGTTACCATTTTCACTGCCAGGTCCAGGTTTTAAGTTGCACATGGCATTGAAATAGTACGAGTACCTCTCTTGCTTGGGCCCCCATGCTGCGACCCACTCCAACCGGACCCGCAGCACGGTGGACCCGAGACCGCCTGTGCAGCCGGCGGCCGTGCAGCTGTCCGCGGGCGGATCGCCGGGCAGGGCGCAGTGCTCGGAGATCGGCTGCTGCGGACGGAAGTCCGACCTCGGACCGGAACGCAACGGACCGCGGCGACGTCCGGACGGCGGGGAAGGTCGGTGGTTGACTCGTGGGTGGGAGGAAAGACGAGCGGCAGCTGGACAGCCTGGACAGCCGAGGTCAATCTTCTCTCAGAGAACGGAAAGAGAAGGAACACTTTTTAGTGCAGATCTCATTCCAAAGTCTTTGAACTATGCCTGATCCTTCTTCAACCCTGCCCCACCCTCCCAAGAGAAATCAATTGCTGCATCAAAACAAACTGCTTGCTCCCAAGCCGCTCGGCCGCGCACATGGAGACGTTCCGCAAGTGTGGTTTGCCTGACAGCGGGTGATCGGTACCGTTCGGTGGAAACGGCCGGTACCGCTCCTCGTGGCCCATCACGGTGAGTGACCCAATCTGTTAGAGCCACGTGCCGTGAATCGGTGACGGGAATCCGTTGGATTGAGATGTTGAGACATGTGACAACCTCGTATGAACACGAACCTCCGAGTATCTATCAATGCTGAACCACAAACAGCTTTTGCTGGAACACCTAGTAGAGTGTCGACAAAGTTCACTCACTGGCAAAGTGGTGCAGGTCAAACCAACCAGGCGTCCCAAGCCTTAAAGAAAAATGTAAACATGCTAAGACTAAGATCATCATGCACTTCATGCACCAACATTGAACGCCGCAGCATTTGGCGCGCCAAAGGAGTGACCACGTGTTCGAAGGGACCTCTCCCTGTACACCCATACTCTCTCTCTCTGTTCCCATCTAACCCAAGAGGCAAAGGGTGGCGGGGCTGGATTGGCAGCACTGCTGGGCCGGATAAGTGACCCAAGTCTTCAGCTCTTCCCCCCAGCTGAGGGAGATCCCATCGCAGCCTCGGTGTCCGGAAGAAGCCGTAAGTCACGTGCGTGTCGGTCGACCGGAGAGACCAGACTGGAGAGACCGGAGTGTGTGTTTTGAGCCAAAGGTGATGAGAGATGCCAACTGGGAGAGTTGAGCCGTTGGAGCTCCTCAGCTTTTTGATGTTCAAGCTCCAACTTGGCGAGAAAGATCGTTGCGTCCCTCTTCAGGAAACCATGCAGTGCCTCTGCAGTTCCGTTCCGTGCGAAAAGAGAATGCCACCTTCACACATTCTGACATTGTGAATGGCATTCCATCTGGCGCAACCCGTTGGTTGATGCAAAGTTCATCTTCCCTATATCACTACCTCGCAGAGAAAACCAACGACTCCCAATCCCTATAATAACAAATGACTCCCAGCTCAAGTGTGGTGCAAACCTTTCTGTTTTCACTTCACATGTTTGCGCTCATTCATCACCGCTCCACACCTCTTCTCTTCGCGACGGACTCGCGCTCTGCAGAACAGTCCAAGTCGCTTCCAGCTTTCGTGGCATTTTCCATGGCCGTGTACTCGCTCCACCAGTTCTTCAAGCGCTGCCCACAGGTCTCAGTGCCTCGTTGCGAGCATAGCGTCGGACGTCGTCGTCTCGTGGTCTCGGCGCCGGTCTGACCAGGCGGGTCGAGAGTGGTTCGGTGGCGAAGGGTCGAGAGTGGACCTCATTGGTTCAGTGCCATCTATATATTCTATATATATTATACACTGTAGATCACTGATGATCACTGTAGTTCTGATTCTTGGAACCGTCTGCACAGCATCGGACAGGTCCTCCATAGGCGGAAGTGGATCCATCCCTTCACCCCCGAATCGATTGGCAGAAACCAAACCACCATTGAATCTTTCAGAGTTGACCAGGGCACCTGGTCCAAAGGGCATCACCCCCCGTTCGGCCTCACCACGGAATCCGGCTCTGAGCCCGTCCGCCGGCGTCGGCGCTGGGCGTCCGGACTGCTGTAGGTGGATGTGGGGTCGAAGAGGCGATCCTCCATGAAGTCCGCGGGGTCCTGTGAGAGTTGCTGTTGATTCGAATTAAATTCCAATTTAATGTTGAATATATTTATGTCTTGTTTCTAATAGCTTCTTGTTACTAGAAGTATGGCCAGGAGCCCCTAGTAGCGTCCTTGCTCCTAGTAGCGGGGTCCTGTGAGAGTTGCTGATTCCTGTAAGATCCGTCGTATGGCACTCTCCCTCCACCCGTCCTTGCAGGGCGTGGCCAAAACAGCTGTTGAATCGCAAAGCCTCAAAGCTGTGGGCGGCCCGTGGCATCTGCCAGCCCAACTGGTTGAGCGAAGTTCACCCCAAACCGAGCAACCGCTCAGCTCGGTAAACCCAAAGGGGAAGAGCCAAAACAAGCGAAGGCGCCAAAAAACAGGCGAAGGCGCCCTCGTGTTGCAAGTGGATATTAGAATTCCAAAACAAGCTGTTCAAAAGCCACAAAGTGCACTTTTTGGAGGCTTACTTGGGAGCACAGGAGCACATAAGAGCACATCAGTGGGCCCTTTCAGTTCTATAAGTAGGTTGGAGGCCAAGGTCAGAGGCCATCGCTAGTAGGTTGGAGGCCATCGCTATTGGGTTCGGAGCCATCGCTAGTAGGTTAGAGGCAATCGCTATTGGGGTGGGGACCATTTCTATTGGGTTGGAGGCCATCGCTAGTAGGTTGGAGGCCATTGCTAGTAGGTTGGAGTTGGAGGCCATCGCTCTTAGGTTGGAGGCCAT